TTTACCCGTTGCTTTAATGGTGCCATGTAGAAACTTTCTTTTCTAATGCTAGTCGGTAAGCGAATGAAATGGTGTTTTAATGCACACAGGTTGCGGATTAGACACCCACAACCCTAATTTCTGTGAGGTTTCTAGGACTAGGAACTTAAATTAAAAAAACAAGTTACCAGACAACAACCAATGACGCTTTAAACAGCATCCCGAATGTTTAATGAACACGGGGTTTGGAAAAAAGGGGAGGGTGGGGGCTGATTGTAAAATGCAATAAAAAACCAGAATCCACGAACAAGGTTGCAAATTACAAGCCAATCTTGTGGATGACTTTGGCCTCTGGCAGGTAAGAATGTTCAATAAGAATTGTAGACAGCGGACAAATGCCATGTTACCCGAATATATGTACACATTTATAGTCTTTAATTGCTCTCTCATCAGCTATTAATATACACGAATCATAAGTATACAGCATACACATTTCCTCGACGCTCGAGTCGGTAGTAGGCAAATATACACGCAAGTACTGGTAATACAAAATCTGAATAAGAGGAACAGCATGCACAATTTATGAGGGATTTTGTTTTAGCTAGGTGGGTATTACGGGTAACCAAACTGCTGACTATTTGACACCCAATCATGGGCTATAACTCTTGGTATAATTACCAGAAATTGTTGTAATTTGATACTTATTAAATATAAAACATAAAATAAAGACAATAAATTAAAAGTAGGTCTGATGAGTGATGGTGACATTTGCTGTTACCGTGTTATTGTTAACAAGATTCTAAACAGTGAGCAAGGGCCATAACCCTAGAGTTATTTCTTGGCTGAATTTATCTGAGCACTACATATAATGAAATAGATTGTGGGAGGGGGGGGGAGGTAACCTCCACTCATACAAACTAGGTCATTTCAGGACTAGAATATGTTACAACATTTTTTCAATAATTCATGTACACAAAGAGGTATAGCAGATTGGGAAGACGGCTTTACCTTTGTCTCAATTTATCACATACATCCTTGGGATTGAAACCACATCACTTTACTTATTGACAGACCATATGATCTAAAGCACACACGTTAAAACCACTCAACTCCACCGCAGACCGAAAGATTGACCACCCAACGCCATGATATGCTATTGTGTTGAAAAGACATTGTTGACAGCCAATGGTGATATTCAGATGTATATGTAAAAAGGCAAAAATATTGTTTTAAAAATGCTAAACCACTCAGCTATCACAGGGGCAAATATATTTCCTTGAATCATACAGCAGGATTACGTTGTACTTCTTAGTCTTACCCTTGGCATAGGTGCAGGATGGAGGGCAAGGGTACAGGATGGTGGGCTAGGGCATGGGTACAGGATGGAGAGGACTAGGGCAAGGGTGCGCGATGGAGGGCTATGGCAAGGGTGCGGATGGTGGGCTAGGTCATGGCTGCAGGATGGAGGGCTAGGCCATTGCTGCAGAATGGAGGGCTAGGCCAAGGGTGCAGAGCTAGGGCAAATGTGCAGGATGGAGTTATAGGGCAAAGGTGCAGGATGGAGGGCCAGGCCAAGGGTGCAGGATGTAGGGCCAGGCCAAGGGTGCAGGATGTAGGGCTGGGGAAAGGAAAGTCTCAAGTCATTTCGATGTGACGAAAAACCAAGGTCCTGTGTACACATTAGCGTGGACATTAAAAGATCCCTTGAAAGTTAGGATTCGAATTAAAAGAAGGCAAAATTTCTGTCATAGTACACTGTATGCACATCTTGATTAGCCCAGTTGGAGCAGTAAAGTAGGATATTACACCACATGACATTGTACTCCCAAAAATAAAACAAAATATATTTTTAAAGTTTATTTTAACATTTACAATGAAAGGGATGTGATCTGTGTACAATATACAACCAAAACAATAAATAATATACATATCTTGATCATCAAGACAGACAAAAATACACTTTCTATTTATGTACAATTCATAGTCTCTGTTGCTGAGTCCTAATGGTAAAGACAAAAATAAAGAATAATCCCACGTCGTTATTATTACAAAATAACAGCCTTCGAACAGTCGTTAAATCCTAACAGTGAAATTGATAAAAAAAACAAACAAACAACAAATTAAAAATGAAATTTAAATTAAAATTCTTGCCAAACAATCGTTGACAATATTTTTGAATCATTCTACGACTGTAAACAGGATGTTAAAAATAAAAGTTTGTACAAGTTTTCAAGAGGATTTTTCTATTCAAGTTTAAATATTCCACCATAAATGTAAAATAGAAACTTACAGACCATACCATAAGAAAATTATTACCCCTAAAAAATTATTGTTCAAAAAACAATCAATCCAAACAAAATTACAGGTCAAGCAATTAACAGGATTAAACTAGATGCCAGATGAATCAGGATTTAGACCTATTATTAAAGTAAATGGAAAGTAAATAAATATGTTGTTTGAATAAAGATTGTCTGATTGGTAGTTTAAGTGAACAAGTTGATTTATTCACCATCTGGTGGAGAATGACAGCTGCTGATCATCATGTACATTTTTTGGACAATATCTAATTTTTTACGATTTATTCTGAACTGAAAATGATATAACATTTCCTTAAAGGGGGATTATGGAATATTAGATAAAGGGCTGAAAGTTCTCGCTAAAATAGTTAAAAAAATAGAACATGCTGAAAATTTCAGTCAAATTGCTTCACTCTGAATCAAGATATTAGCGATTGAATTTTAGGCCTAAAGAAAGACCTGCAATAGGCAGATTTAGCTCTTGAATAATGTATGTTTAAGAAAACAAAATGAGAATATCAATGGTTTGGATTCAATCAGATTAAAAAGAGGCCTACTAAAGATTTTACCCAACACCTGTAAATGGTGCTAACTTTATTTTGTCCGCATACAGGATGCTGAATGTTGCAAAAGTTTCAATTTATTATATCTTTATAAATACTAAACGTACTTGAACCATTTTTTGACCGATATTCCTTTTATAGATTCAACTTTCACAATATTGTAGTCTGCAAGTCATTCAATCTGATTAAAATACATATCTGTATTTCGTTCCGTTTTTTTGTTATACTTTCAATGGCCTCTACTACATGAAGATCTGACCGGTTGTAGTGGAAGGTCATGTCAGAGGTCATAAGAGCTTTTTTTGACCTTATGACATCAGACATTTGATTCACCAATCAGTGTTGATGTTTTTAATGAGTTACCCACAGTTCCGTGTACCTCAAGCCAAAAACATGCCGTAACAGATCGTTTCATTGGCTAATCCCTCAAATCATCCAGAATGCGGGTTACATAACTATAAAAAACGAAACGAAATAGGATCTGTGTTTTAATCAGATGGCAAGTGATTCACATGACGATCTGAGACGTAAAAATAATTTTAATATCTCTGATATTATTAATAAAATTCATATTTTTTGATTTTATGCAAATAACAACAACAAACAAATTTTCACCTTTGATTTTAAGCTATGATAAATTCATTAAAATAGAAAAAACACCAACAGTAGTGTATACAATATACAACTAATTAACATGTTAATTTATGCGCATATGTAAAAAGGTCTTAAAATATTTTGATGCTTGATATTATCCCTGAATATGCAAATAAAATACAAAATATTCTAAGTTTCCTTTTTTTATCCTAAAATATATCATAGTTATATTAGTGATCGGTTTTAAATAGAGACTGGTCCGTCACCCAGAAAATCAATTTCATCCCTAAAACTAATTTTTAGCTGGAATTTTTGTTTGTGTTGTTTTGATTTTTCTAGAAGCCAGGCCCATTTCTATTTATATAAAATATTGATATTTGAAATAATATTAAAGAGTAATTCATAGGAATAGAATACATGTAAGGATGAAGAACACATATAGTTTGTGATAATTTAAAAATATTGCGTACATCTTGTAAAACTAAATTCACACATAAAATAAAGAAACATGAATTAAAAATGTGTTTATATAATTTGTAAATGATAAAAATAACAAATGTTTTAGATTCCACATATAAAAAAAGTCAATAAAAATACTTGTTAAGATATACAGTAATCATGGGGGTACCATTGATCTATTCTACCCCCTCTCCTGGATAAAATGAAAAAAAAAAGAAGATTAATTGAAGATTCTAACGTAGAAATCCTGAGAATTCATTATTAAAGCTTTAAAAATTTGTGGATTTCTGTAATAAATAAACAAACATTTAGTTAAACTGAAAGAAAGCATAAACCAGTATCCAACATATACAATATAAGGTATATTAAGAAATAAATGTATTAATAACAGAAATAATAATTGGTGCCAGGGTCAAATATTTTTAAAAACTAGCAGGATGGTTTATGAACATAAATCAATTTCTAATTATTTTTCTTTTCAAGTATAAAGATCAATTATTTTTTTCCTCAGAAGTAAAAATTTTAAAAAGAGAATAACATCACTAAGAAATCTGTTAAAATATAAAATAAAGATATCAAAAATTACATTGGCAAGAAAAAGAAATGGTAGACAAAAGATTTTAAGTTCAGCATAATTCTTATATTCTATTTCAAATGAATTTCTAACTACCGATCTTGCCTAGTTTTTGCATAAAATACTAATTATGAAATATATTTTAAATGCCTATATTAAAACTTGGTGGTTAGTGAAATAAAGAAAATAACTGTATTTCAACAAAAGATTTTGTTCAAATATACCTAACTTAAATATAAATGTATTATAGGGCTTCACCATAGCACTCACTGCTCTAGGGGTCCATTTACTATATCAGCATTATAGAGATATATATAGCAACCACAAGTAGGCCTGGAAATAGATCACCTGTCACATATATTGTCAGACAACAATACAGATTTTGTCAGACACAATCCTTCCAGTACCTGTCATTTCATCCTGTGCCAATTCATAAATTTTTTGATACTTATACATGTAATATATGTCTGACATAAAGTTAAAAAATTTCAGTAGTGCCTGACATTTTGTCGGTTACCGTATATCCAGGCCTGCAACCATGATATGGTCCCTGTGTTATATGGAAACCCATCTTATAGCCTGCAACCAAGATGATCTCTGTGTTACATTGAAACCCATCTAATAGCATTATAGAAAAGCCCTAGCTTAATAATTAATCATTTAAAACCAAACCCTCTAATTAACAACTCTAACAATTAAAAATTTGGTGATTATAATTTTTTTTAAAGGTATCGTGATATAATAATTATAAATGCAATATACATGTTAATACCATGTAATAATAGAACCATGAACCATATTTATAAATGTAATAATATACTCAATGATATATCTACAAATGTAATACTTAAATCATATTATGCTCTGTATTCATCTAATAACAATCACAGGACGACTAACATTGTATTACACATGAGTTAAGTCTTATTTTGAGAGCTTCATCAGTGTCACAATCGAATCCAAGAGATTGGAAAATCTAATAACGACCAATATTATCAAAGTGGAGATTAAAATTTAATTTATTTTTAAGATAAAGAACCCAACCCATGTTGAAAAGTTACAAAATGTTCATATTTTCGAGGCCCCTTATTATCGGAAAGGGTGTAATATTATCCATAATTTACCCTTCAAAAATTTGGTGTTAAGGAAAGATAAACTAGAATTTTCAAGTTTAATACATGTATCAGTGAGATATTAGAACTTTGTCTTTCAAAATTGTGAACGAGAATAACTGTATTGCAATAAGGTGGTCACCCAAAATGATAGAAGCCAATTCCCATCTTCCTCTTCCAAAAGTGTGAAGGGGAATAACTCTATATGGTCATCAGCAATATCTACTGAAAATATATTTGACCTTTTCCCATTAATTCCGAACTTGATCTTCCAAAAGTGTGAAGGAGAATAAATCTATATGGTATAGTCGCCCGTAACGATTATAATAAAAAAAGCTATAGACTTTTTCCAAATGTTCCCATGTTAACTGCTTTAATAAGATTCTATTAATCTTCTGGAAATATGGTGAATTTTATTTTATATTATGTACAAATTTCAAGACTCCTTCTCTTTTTATTTGAACCAAATCTAAATCCCATCTTTAAATTGACTCCACCAAATAATATCTTTGAAGTGTAAAATATTTCATTATGTCAAAGCCAAGGTCTGTCCGATAATCAGGAACAAAAAAAATACCCAAGAACTCAAAGAAAGAACATTTGTCTTTAAAGGTCGTTTTTAACTCTTCAAACCATATCAGACTTAGGATTTTAAAGAGAACAAAGCTCGTGATCAAAGGTTTCCTCCTCTTCTAAATTAGATGGATGAATGGGAATCGGAATTGAAAAAGGTGAGAAACAACAACCACTGCAGATAGAATTACAAAGACATTGCCTCAAAGGCGAATATTTTTGTCCGAGGTGCACGCGACGTAGGCTGTGTTTGTCATCATTTAAGGGTTGAAATAAGTTGCGCCATACTTTACTTAAAGTACACTATTAACAGCTTTATGTCTAAGCTTGGTAAAGAATGTTTTACTCTCAACTAAATGAATACAGTAGTCTGGGGATTAAATATCTAAACCTCTAGATACGATAAGTATGGAGCGTATTATTGAAAGTCAATACAGATCTAGGTATTGAACCAACAGCTGAAGATATAGATCTATATATGAACAGCCTACAAATTTGACATATAGGGCATTAACACAAATACTTAAATATGTTCAGTTGAGAAATAATGAAGGCTTATAAATCAAATAATTACATTTTGTTGGAGTTCTAAGTCAGTGTGCCCTGGAGGATTATTCATACTTGTTGCTCCAAGATACCTTTTAACCTTTGTATTACATGTGGGAGAAATGGGTTTTAATTTCTCGTCTACACAACACCGGTCAATTTGTGACTAACATGTATATATTTTCTCATTGATCATGTGGTCAATGCGGGGGGAGCAGCAATATTTCTCCACCCACCTGTCATTAAATTCAAACTGTCAGTGTTTTATTTTTATTTTATGAGCATGTAGTTGACATGTTATTTTTTCAGTACCTATCCAACAGTGGTCCTTTAAAACCATGTTGCTCATGGTCTCTTAAAGAGAGAGAGAGAAATGGGGTTAACGTCATTTTGGTACCAACACACGGTTCATTTTTATTTCAATAATTCGCTTGCTCGGAGGGGTCTTTAGCAGTGGGAGGAAACCGGAGGTCTCTTAAAGACAGGTAACCTCAAAATTTTAATTCACTGAACATTAAATCATATTTTGAAAAAATAAATGAATGTATAAATTCTATAGAGACTTAACAACCTTTAAATTTAAAAGAAAAGAAACAAAAATGCAAAATTGTACTAATTGTAAAGCACAGGCCTCATGTACATGCACAAAATAATGATGCCTTATTAAAATCAATATCTATACAATATATGTCTGGACGTAAAGGTATACTTCCTCCATATTAGGTTTACTTAACGCAAATAGCACTTCAACACAAATCTGTGGTTTAAAAATATATAATAACAGTCTTTATCCACCACCATTTTCTATTTCACAATTATATACAAGCCTGGAAATAAAATGTTGATCATTGACAAAATCTCCTGTGATTCAGTCTAGCACAAATTTGTCTCTTTTGTGGCCTTATAGCCTGTTTTTCCATGTACATATTTTCACACACGTTTTCGCTGGTTACATTGAAATGGTCCAAATACTTTTGCATTAGAGCGGCTTTTTCATCGGCGAAAACGTGCGCAAATGCTGTGAAAACACATACATGGAAAACAGGCCCTAATCAGAGTCTTTCACTTCAAAAATTTGCCAACCAGTCAATTTTTGATGTTTTTTGTTTACCTCGGATCAGCAAGATATATTTGGTTCAGTGAATTTGACAATTTTTAGCATTATCCCGATTTTTCTTATATTTTTTGAAGTATTTTTACATCAAAACTCTAAATCAAACTCTATATTTTGCATTTTAAGGTAAAATTTGAAGATTTTAAACTTTACTCACAGGTGAGTTCTCCGACTGGTCAATTTTCCCGTGAAACTCTTTCAAGACTGGTAAATATGAATAAAAACAAAAACCCTGGGTTAAAGAATACTTTAGCGCATGTCCGCAAAAAAAAAAAAATTAGAATGTCAGATAAAAATTTTGTCAGGAAGGACCAACAACTAAGGTCCATTTTCCGTGTATACGTTTCCGCGCATGTTTTCGTTCGGTTACATGGAAACAGTCACATTACATTTGCATTAGATCGACTTTTTCTCTGGCAAAAATGTGCATGGAAACACAGCAAAAACTAGTCTAAAAAGCTTATTTCCAGGCTTGAAAATTTGGCAGTTTCTGTTGGTTGTTTCTAAATCCTCTATATCATATCTACATTATTATTCAAAGGTAGCTCATATATATCTGTATGTATATCCACAGAATTCACAGAATGGGTGCACAAAGCTTCTATTAGTCTTACTAATAAATTCACACAAGTCTGGGAGGGAAAAATTACATTTTACACTTCCCAAAATGTCTCTGTCACAAGAAACAAAAATATATCTCCATTAACATATATTCGTCTAGCAGCTTCAATTCCTTATTTTCTATTTACAGCAGTTTTTCTATTCATTTTACTCAATAAAAACAACAAACAGCCAAAATTCCAACATGGCTGCCATAACCGTCTGCTAGAGGTTAACAGGAAGTGAAACTTTTTCTGTGCCTTGGCTGTATGTCACGCTGGTGCTATTATTTGAACGATTAGATTTTCCCGATTTACTACTGGTGGGCGTGTACGATCGTTGATGGGATTGATGAGACTGATGGGAAGAGTATGTACTTCCTTGTGGCACGTATTGTTCCTTAGCATACGCTGAATAAACTGATCCATGTGGTGTGGGGTAAACTGGCTGCATTGGATAATATCCTTGATGTGTATAACCATGGTTACTAAATGGTCCGCCTGTTCTTGGTCCTGAAAAATATTTTGGGTGAGTTAGAAATTTCAGACGGTCAACAATTGATATACAGGTAATAAAAGATGTGTTTCACAACGACAAAACAAAAGGAACCAAAAGATTATAAATAATTGTCCTGAAAAAAAAAAAGTCCATAACTGAATCTATTTAAGATGTCACTTGTCACCCAATCAGACCTATCTGATATGTTGTACAGAGGGACATCTCCATTCACGTCATCTTTCGCTATGTCGCAAGCCTTCCCCTTCTCATGTTAAGTTGACAAATCAGAAAAGCAAAAAATAGTAATAACTAAGAAACAAAATGTCCAACTTTTTGCTCCATTCGGGATAATGAAGACAGACCGGGCTAATGAAGATGGTTCCGGGAATGAAACAGGTCAAATATATCTGGAACATGGATGTGATATGGTTAAATTCTTGTAGTGTAAATGGTATCCGTTCTGAGAACAGAACCCTTATCACGGCCACGCGCCCACGTGTAAACACAACTATTGGTTTGAAGACTATTATAGTCTACACTTTCTTTGGGTTTTTATTTACAGCTTTACTTTACTTACAGAGGATGAAAGTTGCTCTCCTAACATCACAGCCAATATGATAATTTGCTACTTATAAGGACGAAATGATTTGTATTTTGGGTAGAGCGAGGTTGAAACTAGTTCAATTCTAGTTAGTCAGTAAAATTTAGAGAATCTTCAATGGCTTGATTTCTCTTTAAAGCCATTTAAAATCTTGTTAAAAAGATGTCAAAGATCCAAGATGAAAGAATAATGATGAGAATTGTGAAATGGCAGTTACTAAAAAAGACCATGAATATTTTTAAACTACCGGTATAACAATTCTTTTGGCACACTCAAGATATCAGATGATTATAGGGCATTTATTACAAATAGTAGTTGTCAGAAAGCACCATATTGCTGAGTTCTCAATCAAACTTTTTATGGTTGTGCGATAGTCCAGTGGTAGAGCATAGCGTAGGACTGGCAACTGTGAGGCAAATGGGAGTCGTAATGAGGAGTTCAATTCCCTTTGGTGCAAGGAAACCATAGACCCATGGCCCACGCTTCTGTGGTGGATTCTATATGAAAGCTCTCCAGGTATTTCATTATTTTCAGGCGTGTCAAACAAGCTGTGAATAAATAAATAAATGAAATGAAATAGGGTTTAACGTCCTACTGTTCTGCTCCTAAACTGGGCTAATGAAGACGGGCATACGCCATACAGTGTGCTATGAAGGAAATTTTGCCCGCGCAGCGGCACTATGGCCTACACTTATATCGAATTCCAACTGCCAAGGGATCTTTTACATGCATGCCAATGTATACACGGGACCTTGGTCCTAAAAAAATAAATAAATAAGTAAATAAATGTAAATGTAAGCCCATACCTTGTACATTGTTAGGGGCTGGCGTACTGCCATTAGCTACAACAGTTGTGGCTGTCGTTGTCACACCTGAATCTGGTCTTTTCTTACACAAGGTCTTACGACAGCAACAGACCAACGCTACAATACACGCTATTACTATTACAATACTACCAACGGTGATCGCAATGGAAGCTGTCACGCCAAGAGACAGGAATCGACTTAACAAACCATTATCTGAAAATATAAATTGGACATAAATTACATAAAGAAATACAATACTCGTCAAAACAATACATCGGCCATTTTGAGACTAACATATGGTCATTTTTATTTCTATGGCTACGTGTGCAATGTGTAGGTAGGATAGAATTTTGCCTGGCTATCGTCGTTTCTGTCTATTCTTCAAATTCCAGCTACGTGCATGCGAATGTGTAAACAGGTGGACCTGGGTCTTTTGTCCCATCCAAATTACTAGTCACATCTCAGCATTAAACCTGTTCTGTGTTATAAGAGAACTGATCATTAAGTATGTTCGGTGTAATAAGACATCTGAGCATTAAGCATATACCCATCAATTCCATCCTGTACAACATGAAATATGTTTTGTATTCGTAATTTTTTTTTAGCAGTATGTTAATATTTGACATAACATCAGTTGATGTTTCACTCTGATTTTTCATCATTTTCCTTAGGATGTCAGTGATCCAAAATAAACCAACCAAGTAATCCAGCCTGCGACAGTAAAACCCACCACTGACCAAGAGTTACAAATGTAACCACGCTTAACAATAGAAACAATCTGATTAAAACACAGATCCTAAATTACGTTTTACTTGTCTTTGCTACACTAGTTTGTGGTTTGTGTGAGGGATTAGCCAATCAAGCGGTCTGTTGCAGCGAGCTCTTGGCGTAGACATTCGCAGCAAAACAAAGCAAAAGTTGTATTTCCAAATACCCACTAGAAACATCAACACCGATTGGTTAATCAAATGTCTGATGTCATAGGGTCAAAAGCCACTTGTATGGTTAATCAAATATCTGACATCATAGGGTCAAAAGCCGTGTGTATTACTCCTGACACAACCTACCACTACAACCGGTCAGATCTTCATGCAGTGGAGGCCATCGAGGGTATAAAAAAAATGAAACGAAATATAGATTTGTATTTCAATCAGATTGCAAAAGAAACAAAAGCAATATGAAATGAAGTATTAATAATATACTTAAAGATTATACAATATAACCAGAATAAACACCATGATGAATGTAATACATTATTGTATTTTTGTACTCTGTGAACTAACTGAAGGTACAATAATAAGATTAGGCTTGCCTTCCACTTTTAAAACCATTTTATTGATAAAGAAATGTTGAAACAGATTTTATTGGCAAAAAATAGATTTTATTAGCAAAAAAAATAACCCACTGCTAAATCAAGAGTACAATTTTTCCTGACACGAAAATCAATATGTTCGCTCCTTGTGGAAAAACTTCTTATGTTGGCCAGCATTGTATTAATTTTACTTGTGGTACAGGTCCAACTAGTCAGATCAAACGCTCAAAGTTAGGCAAAAAATATTTCAGTTGAAATATTGGATAGCGAACATCAAAGAATCTGTCGCTTTATGTGAAATTGAGTTGGATGTGAGGGGAGAATAAGGAGGGAGAAATCTGCTCTATCGATAAACATACTAGTCTGTAAATTAATCCGCTAAATCGAAATCGTCAATATAACCTCGCCGACTTCTCTGGGCTTTGTTACATCTTTGTGATACTTTGTCCGACAGTGGCCCCCTCTTTTATCGTCTTCAATGTTTAATAATTACTTTTTTCGCCTATGATCTCGTTGTTTTGCTACGTCGTAACACGGTAAATATTAGAAGGTTAATTGTCCCTCAAGATATTTACAAACATTTCAAGTCATTCGTGATTTCTTTTAAAACTAGATTGTCATACATGTGACCAAATATATAAGACAGACAAAAATAGGGTATTATTTTGATAAGAATAGGCTTTGTATTCACTTCTTCAAACAAAACCTGTTATATTGAGAATATCTAACAATCTGAATAAAGGTTAATGTTATACAATTACTACTTCTATATGTGAAGATGGTTTTTTTTCCAAATGTGATACACAAACGACAGATTTATGGAGAGAGAAAGAGAGAAATGGGGTTTAACGTGCACTGACTCAAACTAGGTCATTTTGGGACTAACACATGGTTAAATTTTATTTCAATAATTCGCTTGCGCATGGGTTTCTTTAGCAGTGGGAGGAAACTGGAGGACTCGGAGAAAACCCATCAGGTTGGACAGGCGACCCTACTCTTTATCACGTAAAACCGGGGAATCAAAACCACACCAGTTGACTCAATGACAGACCTTATGATACAGCGCGCATGTGTTAACCATTCGGTCATCCAACCCCCCTCATATTAAAAAGAGCTGAGGTCCTGAAACCAACCGCTGGCGACAGTGCGGACTGTCTTGTATTCTCTGAAGGACAAATACGGAGAGATAAGAAAATCAAACAACTGTGTGATATCAGGTCAATGAGAAACAATTTGTCAGAAACACACCAACATTCATCATTTATCATCAAAGAAACAAAAGTCATTTTCATTTGCAGATGTAATAACCTTGTCCCTCAAAATCAAAGTGAAATATAAATTAACCAATGTCAATGGCAAGTAAATGATCTATTTTGATACATTGTTATTTGATTGTTTTATATGAGCTAACAACTGATTCACGTGTTTTGATTGTTTTATATGGCTAACATCTGATTCACATGTATTTCTATAGCGGGATCACGGTGGCTAAGTGGGTAAGACGCTGGCTCGCTAGGATGGAGGTCGGGTGTTTAATCCCTGCATTGGTCGAGAAAGTTCATCCAGATTTTCTGACGTGGTTCCCCCTTGTCAGTGATGCCTGACAAGGACAGCTGTCTAGTCATTTGGATGGGATGATAAACCGAGGTCCCGTGTACACATTGGTGTGCACGTAAAAGATCCCTTGACAGTTGGAATTCGATGTAAGAGTAGGCCGTAGTGCCGCTGTCCGGCTAAAATTTCCCTCATAGCACACTGTATGTGGTATGCCCGTCTTCATTAGCCCAGTTCAGAGCAGAACAGTAGGACGCTAAACCTCATTTCATTTCATTTCTATTTCTATAGTTATGTCTGTAATAGGGAGCCACAGTGGATCAATGAGTAAGGCATCGGCAGTAACCTGGAGGCTCCAGGTTCTTGTCCGTAATGTGAGGAAGAAGGATCTTTCTTGCACAATAATCACTTCTATAATTGTTCTCATTTCTTTAATCCATGGGGGTTCCAAAGCTTTCCCCTTCATCAATAATGCAAGCCATGGTGAGTAAGGCGCTGGCTCGCTAACCTGGATGTCCTGGGTTCTTGTCTTGTTTGAATAATTTTTCTTACTAAGCAATCAATTGTCTCTATAATTATTTCTCTTTCCTTAAGACATGGGATCAAGGCAATCAGCCACGGTGGCTCAGTGGGTATGGAACCCGAAGGTACCTATCATGCAAAATCCTCATTTGGTGAAAGATCTTTTAGTTTTGCTGCTTTTAAACTATGGAATAAATTACCTTCTGAGGTTAAAGATTCCCCTTCCTTGCCTGTTTTTAAGAAAAAGTTAAAGACCCACCTTTTTAAAAATCATTTTAATTGTTAAATGCTTAAATGTTTTCAGAGTTTACTTTTTATTATTGCATACCATATTTTATTTTATTTTTAGTTTCTATATATATATATATATATTTTTTATCATATACTTTTATCATAATGTAATAGCGCCATAGAGCAACAAAATATTGGATTATAGGCTCTCTATAAATAAATTATTATTATTATATTATATATTACATGTACGGGGTTCATTCACAGTGTTACACTCGTGATTTGCCAGCCCATTCTCCTTCTTGTCAGTGATGCACAACTGAGGAACTAAGATTCTATTAGTTTAGATAGGACAAACAACAAAGGTTCACTGGAGCACTTGCTAGCAGGACTGAGGAACTGGGATGCAAAAGCTTCTATTCGTTTAGATGGGACGAACAATGGCGGTCCACTGGAGTACTTGCTAGCATGCATGTAAAAGTACCCTCAACAGTTCAATGAGAGAGAGAGAGAAATGGGGTTTAACGTTCACTCTAACCATTCAGCCATCCAACACCCCCCCCCCAACAGTTCAATGAAGATGAATCAAAGATGCTGCTGTCCCAGTAAAATTCACCATCATATGCCCATCTCCATTAACCCAGTTAGTGCACAAAAGTAGGAAGTTAAACCCCAGTCTTAATTCCAACGGGGGGTTGGATGGCTGAATGGTTAGCACGTGCACGCTGTACCATAAAGTCTGTCATTGAGTCAACTGGCGTGGTTTCGATTCCCCGGTTGTACGTGACAAGCGAATTCTTGAAATAAAATTAAACCATGTTAGTCCCGAAATGACCTAGTTTGTGTCGAGTGGACGTTAAACCCCATTTCTCTCTCTCTCTCTCTCTCTCTCTCTTAATTCCAACAATCCTTTGGACAAACAAAACAGTAAATATCTATTCAACTTGCATACATTTAAAAATTTTAAACAGCAGACAGAAACCAAGGAATCAGGATGAAAAACTCATAAAATTAATTCAAAAAAATTAATTTGACCAAACCTCATAAAAACGTTTAAAATCAGACAATGACGATTAATACAGATTTGAATTAAAAAAAAATGAATCAACGAAACTAGGAAATTAAATTCAGTTTTATTCAACTCATCTCTATAAAGTTTTTTTGTTGAAATGTTATAAATTCTCGAGAAATTCTATGACTGTAAATTATTTACTCGTTTCATCTCATCAGATAAAATTCTCCAATATTAATCTCAGCAAGAGAATTTTTTTTCTGATTTTTTTTTCGACCACAAATTTGCATCTTTACTTGAGTACAACTAAAGCAATGATTAGATGCCGGGATCAAACCAAGCGTCAAAATGACTGGTTAACTGTGATGGAATTAAGCTGGAACATGACAATGCATTCAAAATTTGTCGACTGCACTAACGTCGTGTTGATTCTATTTCTAATGAGACAAAACAATCACAACCAACTTCGTGTAAAGGCATCATTTTCGTCAACAAGATATCCCTGATGTTCTCCAAACTAGAAAACCGAACTCGCGTTAAATTAAATGAAATATAAATGAACCAAGAGATTGGTAAAGTCTT